ATGTTACCTCTGTCACCCAAGCCTCTCCCCTTCCTCTTGGTCCTAATCTTCCCCGGTGACCTTACTGGGTCGGTTCTGTTTGGGGGTTACCTGCTCAGCCTGTGCTGAACAGCCTGGCAACCCGGGGGGCATTTGCAGTATAACTGGCAATCACTGATGGTAGAGACATCTGCAGCACTTAGGTCTATTTACAATACTCCAAAACCAAAGCACTGCACTGCACAGACTTCTCGCCTAAGGGCAAGCTGGGGAGAACAAACACGTGGCAGACACGAGTTATGCCAACCAGTGCAAGGTGCTCTGCTGCTGCATGGATAAATGCGGTATACTGGCAATGCGGGGCTCCAGCTAATGTCATGGGCTGCTGGGTGTGCTGGAAGAGACGGGCCTTAGGTGCATTTTAAAAGCAAACAGGTGTTATGCATGCTACGGCGACAGCTCCTGGGCCTACTTAGACCAGGGAGATGAGTATCGGGGTTGGCTTTGTTGGCCCAGTCTGGGTTTGCACCCTGCAAAGGCCCACCCATCTGCAAAAGCAGGGCCTGGGATGATAGCTCTGATCTTAAAATGTGATGCTTGCAACACAAAAGCCCCTGAGTACCTAGACCCAGCTCCTGCAAGGATCAAGTATTCATCTGTAAGTCCTTCCATTGATTTCGCTGGGCATTGGATGGGCCCCAGGGGAGGTTTTTGGGACTGGGTTTTTTGTCTATTCATTACATTGTGGAGTAAAAAATGAGGCCCGAGGGCTGAATCCAACCTCTATGCGTATCTCGGAAGCCCACCTCTGGCCCTGTTTGCTCTGCTGGCTCTGTGGCAAGGCTTTCTCCCACCTTGCCAACCCTTCCTTTCTTTTGGTAGTCACCGAATGTAGCCACCAAACTCTTTTCCCCTCCAACATAAAGACATCAGCCAGGCTGCAAAAGCTTTGCCGATCAATACAGGTGAATTAAGCTCTTCTTAAAGCAGAATGCATGATATAGGATTTAATTACGTAACCCCTGTAAATCTTGCTTTAAAGTGACACCAAAACAGAGAATTTAGGAGCCTCGTGTGGTCCAACAGCTGCATAAATCTGCTTGTACAACCGCCGCTATAACCCGAGCACTTTGAAAATAATGGATCATCTTTGCTCTCTCCGTGGAGTGAAGCTGGTTTGCATAGGAGGCGGTCTGTCCTTGCTACAGAGAATTAAACCGGTCAGACGCACCTTACCAGTGCTTCTAAACAGCTGGGCCCCATAGATTTGCAAAGCACATTGGGAGGGGACGAGTCTCCCCGAGACCAGCGTACAGGTTGGCTTTGCAGTAGTGTTTGCTGTCTCCTTCCCCTACCTCTCCATCTTTGGATTCCAGCCTGAGCTCCGTCCTGCACGTGGCTTCCAAGCTGCCGGCCTCCGCGTTGATCTCGATGCCTTTCGGAGCCTCCATGACCAGCGCGCGTGTAGGCGACTCGAGTCTGCAACAGAGTAGAAAGGGATCATGCTGGTGTTATAGCCGAGGTGGTCTTCTCACAAGGTCTGATCCCCCGCTACAAGGTGCCTCTGGAGAGCGTGGAGGGCCTGAGCCAGAGCCCCGCTGGGAGCGCTGGAGATGCTAATGCACAACACGGGTATCGCTGTCGGTGGCAGCGACGTCCCAAGATCCATCAGCAGGTTGGTCCCCCAGGCAAGCTCAGGCATCCTCCCCACCCTACCCACACCCCATCGGCATCATACTGACCGCTCACGCAGCAGCGTGCATCCTAATGTCCGTGGTACACGCAATGCTCACTTAGCCTTTTCAGCACCAAAGGCTGCGCTCATTTAACAGGTGGCAACACCAGAGCAGATGCACGTGACAGCTTGCAAGGTTTCCAAGGGAGTGCGGGACAAAAGATGTTACTGCTCAAGGAGTCTTTGCTCCCTGAGTTGTGTATGGACTGGGATCAGTGTGGCACTGGGACCCCGCTCGTGATGGATGGGCCACATATGGAGGTTGATGAGCTTGCTGCAGTATCAGGTCACAAAGCTGGTTCCTTCGGTTCAGGTAACTGAGGTTTGTGCTTTTAAGACTCGCGGGTGTCAAGATCTACCCTTTCTGTCAGCCAAAGGCAACGTATTAAACCCCTCTCTTCCCTCCATTCAGCTGCAATACCTGCCTTCCTCCCTGTGCTATATGGACATAGGAAACCCGGTCTTTCTTTAACAGCTCTCCCATCTGTTCTGCTCATTAGACCAAGCAACAAAACTTGATGCCACAAAAACAGGATTGTGACTTCGCCCCATGCAAGTACCATCAAGGCAGCCCCCCTACTGATCTAGAAATCGTCTGGGCAGGCAGTAACGCCGCCGGCGGAGAAAATGAACTAGCAAGTGCAGCCGGCAACTAGTGAATGTGCTGCTGGCAACCTTTTGTGTTTGCAGTGTCACTTGAGCTGTTTCTCTGCTCTTGCATATAGAACGATATAAAAGAAAGGTGTGTTATTAAATGGGGCTCCTGCTGGTATTGAGAGAGTATTCGGGGGGGGGTTGAATACATTTTAGTGTGTTTATTGTAAGTCAAGAAGCCAATTCAAAGAAAAGAGGCCAGCACTGCCTCAGTATGACACTCTTCCAATTATGACCCTGCTATTTACTGATGTCTTTAGATCAGTGGTTCCCAGGCTTCTTTTCCCCCAAGTTGGTGAAACACTGGAACATGTACGGATAATATAATCCAAGTGAACCACAGGCATGCAGCTAGCATCTCACCTACGACACAGCAGCTTGACTTTCTTTGATGTCTTGGCTGTCTCAATACATTTGTTGCCCTGCTTATCAGGTGGCTTTTCTATTCACGGGTCTACATGAGATGCTTTACTGTGCAGTAGACTCATTTACTGTGCAGTAAAGCATCACCCCCTACATGTGCAGGCACAAGAAATTAGTTTACTGTGCAGTAAATGTCCCACCTGCATATGCAGGTAGTAAATTTACTGCGCAGTAAAGTCAAATAGCATTACTTGCGTGTGTAGATGTGCCCACTGAAGAATAAATCAGATGAGAGCAAAATAGCATATGAAGACCAGAAGGATCAACTAACTCTTGTGCTCTGGACTGACACAAAAAATCATTATAATAAAAAAAAACAGGACATCTGGTGCAAAACGGGGAAAGCCGCTGAACAAGTGCCCGAGGAAGGAGGCTCCGTCTCCTTTCCGTGCCTGACTGCAGACTCGGCTGACAAATGTTAGTTAAATCCACTTGTTCGGGTGGCAAACTACTAAGAGGACATCTAACAAGGAGCAAACAGCCCCTGGGGAAATTTCAGCGGTTCATACAGGTAGAGGGGTTATAGGAAATGTGTCCCCACCTGGTCAAACCCTGCATGGATGAGACCAGGCTTTTAGAAAAGAGGACACCTAACAAGGAGCAAACAGCCCTGGGGAAATTCAGCGGTTCATACCGGTAGAGGGGTTATAGGAAATGTGTCCCCACCTGGTCAAACCCTGCATGGATGAGACCAGGCTTTTAGAAAGGCAGATAGTATAAGCTCATGCTTTTTCAGAAGCACTCTTCTCCCAAGGGTTTTTGCTTTGTTGAGTGGGGTATCTGAACGGTACTGAAGCCTCTGCTCCTGTCTCTGGGCTGCTTTTCACCTGGCCTCCTGGCTCACAACGGTTTTGTGACATAAAGATCATCTTTTATTGCGAGATGACACAACCACGATCGTTACCGTGCTGTGAAGCCCAATGTCCAAACAAAGCACTTGCACTGTTTACCATGCAGTAGCTAAGGGCATGTCTTCATTGCAGTCAAAGATGCAATGTACTCCGCTAACTTTAACCTATGTAGCTCTGACACAGTGGGCACGTCTACACGTGCATTTACATCATGTTAAACTTACTGCGCAGTAAGTTAAGTGGGTTTAGGCTGGTGTCTACATGTGCAGGCATTAAAGCGCAGTAACAGTGTGTATGGACCAATTTGGGACAAAAGTTAGTTCCAAGTCAGTCCACGCGCACAGTGTTGCTGTGCAGTAAGGCGTCTACATGTGCGTTACTGCGCAGTAACTAATTGAGCATAAATTTGATACCTGCATGATGCAGATGATGCATGATGCAAGTATTAGCTACAGTGCATTAATGAATGTGTAGACTTTACACTCAAGCTGGCATAAGTTGCCATATTTACTGCGCAGTACATGCATGCATGTGTAGACACCACCCATCCTGTGCAGTAATTTTAGTTACTGCGCAGTAAATGTACACATGTAGACACACCCATTAACGCTGTAACAATAACGGTAGCTATTACCCTTCCCTACTATGCAGGCCCAAAGATTTACCCAAGATCCTTGGCAGGCTTTGTAGCTTGTGTGGACCTCCATGCTGTGGCTGCTACACTGATCTCAGCACCAGAGGCAGGCAGTTTAATGTAGCTCGGGTACGCCTGTGCAAACCCCGAGCCAGGTCAGAATGACACGCCGTACTATCAGGAAGTGTGCGGACTAATTGTGTTGTGTTAATAGGAGAGAAAGTCACACAGAGTGGCTGTTCCTTTGCTCTACGTTGCCCCATAGCATTGCGGAGCCCCAAGGAGAACTGCTCTTAGTAAGGACAAGGGCAAACCAGCTACTCTTTCCTGCTCAAGGTCGGCCCATCACTATTTCCACCCTTGGGCTGAGCCAATGCAGTCATTATGCTGCCCTAAATCGTTGGCTCAGACACCTACCATCATATTTCAGATGTTGAATGAAACAAGCTGCATCCTTTTCACTCATCTGGAAATCATATTTAGGCCCAGGATTTGCAAATCCTTAATGAATGCAAATGATGTAATTGCCAAGCACCATTCTTTCAGTGAAAAGAAACGTGCTCATGGACAGAATGGGGTTGTACTCTCATTCTCATCTTTGATGCTCATCCTCCTCTTGCTTACCCCCATCTGAAGCTGGGATGACTCCACTCGGCCGCAGAGGCTTTTTATCCCAATTTATGCCAGTGCAGGTGACGAGGAAATCATCCTAATACAATTTCCTTGGAGTCTGCAGAGCGCAGCACTGCAGGAGGGTTATTTTAATGTATTTATTTCTAACTTCCTGAGTGAATCCCTCAGACACCTGTCTTTAAACCAGGAGCTGACAATCTATGCAAAACCAAAGAAAGCAGCTGAGGAGTTATGCTCCCGGGAGTTGGAGTAATGTTTACTGAATACTTTCATTTGAAGCGAGCAATTAATACAACACGCTGCTTTTAAACCTAATGCTGGCTTCCAGAGCAGAACCGACTGGGGGACGAACAATGAAAGCAAATGATTTAGCGACGAGTGCGTTGTTCATTCAAAATGCACGTTTTGTTTCCCCGTGCGGCTCTCTGGTTCCTGAAGTAGGATCCCGATCCTCCTAGCTCGATGGGAGCTTCAGCATACATCAGTGGGGTGGGAAGAGTGACTCCGCAAAGCATCACTGGGCGCGTCTACACATTCATTAATGCACTGTAGCTAATGCACTTTAAATCTAGTCCCTCCAATGTGAGGTACTCGAAAAATGTGCATTAGTCTATTTTAATGCGCATTAACTAAAGAGCACAGTTTTTCTGTGATGCTTTAATATGCATTAAAATAGGCTAATGTGCATTAAAGCACACATGTAGACGTGCACATGGTTTCCTCTCGCTCTTACATAGTCCATCCTAGAGCTCTTGTGTTGGCAACACCTGGTTTTTTGGGGGGGGGTTTGTGTTGCGGGCTCTGGAGTGAGCTCCCAGTTACTAAGGCTCACTTTGCTGATGCTAATAGCATCGTCCCAGTATTAAAACAGTCCAGTGAAAACAGAACCTGGCCCAGAAATGCTACTTTCCCCTCCTGCCCTGAAGCCCCTGCTGTGCCAGTATCCCAGTAGACAGGCAGTAGGGACAGAGGCATGACAAGAAGCTACTGCTGGCAGCACCAGTTCAGCTCCTGGTGTCATCATGACTTCCCATGTAGCCTCGTGCAGTCTCTGGGGTTATTAAAGACAACCAAGGTGGTACGCAGGCAGCTAACAGGGAGGGAATGAGATGCTTTGCAAAAGCCCATTAGCTGCCCGAGTGCCACTATAAATCAGACTCTTACCATCTGTTCCCACCTGGGATAAGAGCACTCCCCTGCTGCAGTGCTGCACTTTAAATCTAGTCCCTCCAATGTGAGGTACTCGAAAAATGTGCATTAGTCTATTTTAATGCGCATTAACTAAAGAGCACAGTTTTTCTGTGATGCTTTAATATGCATTAAAATAGGCTAATGTGCATTAAAGCACACATGTAGACGTGCCCATGGTTTCCTCTCGCTCTTACATAGTCCATCCTAGAGCTCTTGTGTTGGCAACACCTGGTTTTTTGGGGGGGGGTTTGTGTTGCGGGCTCTGGAGTGAGCTCCCAGTTACTAAGGCTCACTTTGCTGATGCTAATAGCATCGTCCCAGTATTAAAACAGTCCAGTGAAAACAGAACCTGGCCCAG